CATATGAAAAGTTAGCTATATCAAACACAAAAAAAATGTGAGCTTTCTTAAAATCTTAATGAAATATTTTATTTTATTTAAAGATCTTTTAAGTCATTTATAAATTACCCCAATTTGAATTTAATTGTAAGCAAAAAATAAAAAGTTTTTTCTTGCCGAGTCATAAGTTTTAGCAAAAATTGAAATAGCTGTTTAACTTCCATAAAAAATTAGTGCGCAAAGTGAAAATGATCGTCTACTTTAAAGAGATAAATTAGGCATTGTGTAATATATGGACAACCTTATTCTGAAAAAAAACAAAAAAACAACTCAAAAATGAGGTTGAACAGTTGCAAATAAATATTGAGTGAAGCAGAACAATATCTTGATTTGTCAGCTATAGAGGAACAGCATTCCTCTATAGCTGACAAATCAAGATATCGTTCTGCTGGCAAATCAAGATAGCGTTCCTCTGTGTCCCCCCCCCCTTATTTAACCCCTATATATATATATATATATATATATATATATATATATATATATATATATATATATATATATATATATATATATATATATATATATATTTATATATATATATATATGTATATATATATATATATATATATATATATATATATATATATATATATATATATATATATATATATATATATATATATATATATATATATATATATATATATATATATATATATATATATATCAGGGGTTAGAAACCTAAACTCTCAATTTTGGGTTTCTGAGGGTTTTAGAACCCTTAAGGGGTTCTAAAACCCTCAGAAACCCAAAATTGAGAGGTTTTAGAACCCAGAACCAGAAAAATGTTCTGGAACCCCTTTCTCAGAAACCCAATTTTCGGGGGTTCTAGAATCCCACCGGTGGTAGAACCCTTTTTTTTTCAAAGATTTCTAGAATGCTTTTTTAGAACCCCACTTTTTCAGGATTCCAAAAACCTTGGGGTTCGAACCCTCTTTTTAAATCAGGGTTTTGTATTAAAAAATAAAACCTACTTTAAGATTTTTTTCAACTTATAAATATTTTTGTTTTTGCATTCGCTGCTTAGCTCAATTACAAAATTATTCTTTTTTCTATTCTGTAAAAAATATTCCTGATTTACTAAAACTCTATTTTAATAAGACAGCAATAGCCGATATAAACACAGCTATTCACTGTTTATAAAAACAAGTCAAAGAGAAGTTATTTTTTTAGCTTAAACATATTTCATATTATTTATTCAACTATAGTCTCTATAAAGAATTTTAAAATTGGATGTAACATGGAAGAATAAAATTAAAGAATTAATTTATACATTACTGTTTCTAAGATAGTTTACTAAATATGAATAATGTTACGTTTACCCTTTTCAGACAATTAATAAAAAAAGCTTTGAGAAATATTTAGAATCATATCATATATTTTTCTTAAAATATTCTTCATCAGTAAAAAATGAATTAAATAAAAAAATTAGCAGCAACATAAAAACAAAAAAATATATACACAAGCATTTAGTTTTAGATAAACCAATTTAACAAGAAAGTGAATTTATTTTGCCTCCATCTTGTCCAGGTAAATAAAATAGTATCCATATTTATACATTGTCTTTTGAATTCAATCAGTAATTTTTGTTTCATTATTAAAACATTCATAATGTAATCAGGAAAATCGACAATGAATTTCAAAATACAATTTTATATAAATAACAATAAGAAATATTTTTAGATTTCTCTCAACCTCCAAAAAAGAAAATAAGGAAAACCATCATTTAAACTTTTGTAACCAAAAATAAAATACCATTAAAATAAAAATGAATAAAGAAACTTACGAAAATGCTTAAGTGGAGGAAGTAGCAATTAATGATAAACCATTTACTTTCATAAATGATAGTGGCTTAAGAAAACTTTTGGATTCAATTGGGGAAGGTTTAAAATTTCAGTATTAACTGGCAGGTTAAAAGCCCATCTAGAAGAAAAGGGTTAGGAAATTAACGAGTAACATAAAAATAACTTATTAAAATTTGACACTGTAACTAAAAATGAAAAAAAATATTTTTCTGAGTTTGCAGAATGTGGAAAATGGAAAGATAAAGCTTAGGTGGGTATATTTTATGATAAAATATACAACTTAGGTGGGTATATTTTATGATAAAATATACAGCTTAGGTGGGTATATTTTATGATAAAATATTTATCTTAAGTATAATGATGATAAAATATATTTTATGAGCTTTGATATTGATGTAACTTCAAAATTTTATATAATTTTTTTTATATATTTTATATATTTTTTTTTTAGAATTTAAAAACAATGACTTAATCCATAGATTTAGAACTGCTCAAAAAATAAATTAAGTACTCCATAATACTATAAATAGTTAAAAAATAGGAATATGAAACAACCAATTTTAAATGTTTTGACTAAATGGTCATCGGCTTTTGATGTGTTACAATTTATTATGTCATTGCAACATTTATATTATAAATAAAAAGAAGGATGATACCATTACATTCTCATTGAAAAAATGGAAAGTGTTGCAAATGAAAATCTTTATTCAATGCAACCTGCTAAAATAGCAACTAAAAAATTAAAAGCTTAAAAAATTAAAATAATAAACATTAGGTGATACCTACAAAATTTGGAATATTTGCAAAGTATGACTTAGAAAAAATAGAGGGCTAAAGTATGTTAGCGAAAACATTGTATGAGGAAATAGAATGGAGAGGTCATGAAATATTATATAAACCTGTGATTTATGCTGGATTATTTCTTGATCCATAGTATCATTGTAAATTAAGCAAAACTCAAATTAAAATGGCATTATCTCATCTAGAAATATTGGGCTTAAGGTTACTAAAGTTGAAGAGAAAATATGTCAAAGTTTAAACTTGAAGGAGGAAACTGAGTTATAAATATAATGTGAGAGTTTAAGAAATTAAAACAGAAAAAAAAAAATGATGAAGATCAAGATAAAGAAGTAAACACCACTTTAAACAATGGAGAAAAAAAATTTACTATTAATACAAAACATTAAAAAACAAATTTAATGCTTTTTCTCCTAATTACAAAAATGATCAGTCTATTGAATAAAATATGGATGTGTTATCATGATGGGAGAGTCAGAAGTTATTTTATCCACTTTGTTATGAAATGGCACAAGTAACTCAAGGTGTACCATCAACTTAAGTATTGATTGAACATTTATTCAGTTCTTTAAGATTTATAACAAATCCTCTCAAAAAGAAACTAAATTAAAGGCATGTTTTCGTAATTATGTTTATAAGAATGAATAATATTTACACAAAGAGCTATCAAAATAAACAAAAACTTAAAAAACATAAATGTAAAATGAAAAAAACATTTTGAATAAAAGTGTAATACAATGTATGTATTACAAAATAGTTTTCTCTATGTAAGTAGAACATCTTAACAGCATAAATGTTTATAAATATAAATGTTAACCTGATTAAGAGGTGCTCTGGAAGCCCTTGAGGTTCCAAACCCTTTTTTACGCAAAGGGTTTTAGAACTCTAGTTTCAGAAACCTAGTTAAAGTAGTTCTAAAACACCAAGGTTTTTCATACCCTGTTTTGCAATAGGAATTCCAGAACCTGTTCTTTAGAACCCTTATGATTGTGGTTCCAGAACCCGGGAGCTCTAGAACTTCGAATTTAGGTCGGAGTTCTAATCCTTGATATATATATATATATATATATATATATATATATATATATATATATATATATATATGTATGTATATGAAGTTAATATATTAATATTAGGTATACAATTTGCATATATAAGGTGTGTCTATCCACCAGTTTGGTTTGGCTTATCAGCCAATGCTGATGCATGAGCTAATGCTGAATAATCAACCAATGCCATCAGCCAACTAATAGGCCAATGGTTAAGCCGATTAATTGGTTGCTGGTTACCAATAACATAGGCTAGTAGGTCGAGTCACTGCTGATGTATAAGTACATGTTTTATATATACTCTATATTCTTAATATTTTTATAATACCTTTATATAAATACAATAAAATCTATTATTATCACAATCGGCCTATGCCATTAGTACATCACTGATATATATATATATATATATATATATATATATATATATATATATATATATATATATATATATATATATATATATATATATATATATATTGTTTTTGTAAAATAAAGTCTTTTTATTTATGGTACTCGATTTGACATTTTATAGTTCATCATAAGTGTTTCTATAATGACATTTTTATAATGAAGTAATTTTGAACTTATTTCATCAAAAGAGGTTTTAAAATTAAGTTAAGAAAACAAAGTTATTTACTTAAAAGGACAAAGCTTAAAAGACTGAGCTGTCAAACCAAATTTAAGTATGGAAAAATTGAAGGAAAAAAAAGGTACATTAAAGGATTGAAAAAGAGGGTATATTGAACAGGTGTTTAAAACATAAAAGTTATAATAAAATATAAAAAAAATAATGAAAAACCTAAATTTATTCTTCCTAGGGAAAGTACTTTTTTTTAATTCAGTATTTTCAGACAAAAAGTACTTTGGTTTTACTTTTATATATATATTTTTTTTTTCAATACTTTTTAATGATATTTTTTAATTATATATTTTTTAAACACATAATCTTTTTATATTTATAATTAGATAAAATTTTTAAACCATAAACAAAAACTATAGCACATGCACTAAAAGCAAATGAAAATTTAACCATTAAGGGCATTTCAACTGCATTAATGCTATAACAACTGGTTTATATATGATAAAATCTAGAAAATGCAAAGATAAACAAATGCCATAAACAATATGTCAAGCTTTACATCACTGTATTTGCTGTAATAATTTAGTTTATTCTAGGTAGTAATTAATTGTGCCCAATACCAATCAATTATTTTAACAAACTTACTTTAAAACATTTTATATTTTTTTATCCTATAATTTTTTATCAAGTAAATCATTTTAACTATTAGATAACTTTGTATTTTAGAGAACAAGAAAAATCTGATGTGAAAGATTTAAAAGTTTTGTTAGTACTTCAGCAAAAAGATATTCACATAAAAAACTTAGAAGAAGTAAGAATGTTTACAATCAATATATTTTTATTATTCATGATAATGGTATGGATGATTTGTAATGATTTGTACCATTTATAATGATTATGGCTGATGATAAGGATGGTGGATAATAAAAATAAGGATGGTGGATAAAAAAAGTTTTAGGGTGTTGGATGATGAAAGGTAGCAATAATAAGGGTGGGGAATAAGTGAGATGTTAAAGATGGCAAATTTTGGTGGTCGATAATGATAAGGAGATATATGAGCATTTCCAAAAAATCACACACAGAAACTCATATATGTTTTGTCTATTATTTTCATAATAATAAAAAATCTCCAATTTACTATCATTTAATTCTAATCTCTTTAAATATTTTGTAAACAAAGAATGGTATACTTTAGTAATGTTATCAAAAAATAAATTAAGTTTGTAATGGAATTAGGTACAAAACAGAAAATTGCTAATTTTAGTTACTAGATAAACAAAACTTTAATAAAAAATATTAGCAGAATACCTTTTTAATTATATTTTATATATTAGCAAAGATTTCCAAAAAGTTACAGGATTGCGCTTTGTATCATAGAGTCACAGTAATCAGTTAAATGCAGTTCATGAATGGTCATGCAGGGAAGTCATGCACGAAGTTTGCAAATTTGTCAAGTTCATGTAGTTATTTTTGTTTTATTAAATTTTATACTATATCTCTACAACTCATTTAATATATTTTTGATGAGAACTAGCAGTCATCAAATATTTCTAGAGTATAGCATTTAAAAAATCATTCTAGTGAATATCATTTAGAAAATCATTCTAGTGTATAGCATTTAGAAAATTATTCTAGTGTATAGCATTTAGAAAATCATTCTATGTTATTCAAACTATTGCAATATTAACACTTAAAAAAATAAAATAGTCAAGATATAAATATTTAAACATTCAGGTAACCTAATTTATGATAAAACTATTTTTATTATAGTTGTTCTCTTTAAGATAATCATAATAGTATTGTTTTAAGTCCTAGCTTCTAATAGTAAAAACAAATAAAAATAAAAAATCATGCGCAGAAATAAAAAAGCCCATATGAAAAAAGCTGATTATGAAAAGGTGTTGGACAATGACGACTAGTAATGATAAAAATGGTAAGTGGAAGGTTATAATGCATGTTAATGTTATGGTAGCTATTAATGATTGTTTTGATTAATTTTAATAACAATTTATAGTAATAAATAAGATAATAGACGATGATGTAAAACAGTAATAAAGAAGTTAAATGATTCTGATGTTTTCTGAGGGTAGCAGCTATTGATGATGCGCAATACACATAGAAATTTGATAATAAAAGTATCAATAAAAATTGAAATATTGATGATGTGATATATTGTTGATTGTAATGGTTGATGATGTGTAATAATAATAAAGATTAATGTTGTCACGGCAATTTAATATCAGTTATCACAAAGGATGAATGATAATAATAAAGATTTTAGTTTTTAGTTTACTTTAAAATGGTTGAAAAAATAAATTGTATACATAGTTTAAATATTAAATTTTTTTTATTAAATTTCAATTTTTCATCTTTTATTATTTTAAATTATTTGCATTTTTTTAAAATAGAAATCACTTGATCTTCAAACACAGTTAAAAAATGTTAATGAAAGGTCTGTATATTTGTTACTATTAAAAATAAAGTGCAGAAGCATATTTGTTTGTTTAAAAAATGTTAATGAAAGATCTGTGTATTTGATACTATTTAAAATAAAGTGCAGAAGCATATTTGTTTGTTTAAAAAATGTTAATGAAAGGTCTGCGTATTTGTTACTATTAAAAATAAAGTGCAGAAGCATATTTATTTGTTTAAAATTTTTAAATTTTATTAGATTATCTTCTTATATTGTGGAAGAGCAAAAATGGAATGAGAATTTAAAGCGGTTTGAAATTGAGAAAGAAAGGTTAACAAAAGAAATAGAAGTACTTGCTGAAAAAGTTAGTCTTTAAAAGGAATTAAAACTTTAAAATTCTCTAAAAGAAAGTAAAATTTTTCAAAAATTTTCAAAAAAAATTCAATGTTTCATAGTAGCTAGTACTCACACTTTACATCATAGTAGCTAGTACTTACACTTTACATCATAGTAGATAGTACTTACACTTTACATCATAGTAGCTAGTACTCACACTTTACATCATAGTAGCTAGCTCATAGTATAGCTAGCTCATATATATAGCTTAGCATCATAGTAGCTAGTACTCACACTTTACATCATAGTAGCTAGTACTTACACTTTACATCATAGTAGATAGTACTTACACTTTACATTATAGTAGCTAGTACTTACACTTTACATTATAGTAGCTAGTACTTACTTTACATCATAGTTTCATAATGTTTATGAACTGTCAACATAAGTATTATTGCTTTGTAATTAAAAAATTAACTTTTCAAATTCTTTTTGAGTTAAGGGTGAAAGAGTCTCACTCAAACATTATGGAGACCGAGGCAATGAGTAGAATTTCAAAGTTACAACATAAAAATGCAGGTTTATTTTTTTTTTCTTTTACCACATGTATGCCATTAAATTTTTATTTTTGTTCAATTTGTTCAATGAAGATAAATTTTACTTGTTGTAGCAAATATGAATATGTATATGCTTTATATGAATTAATGTGTATATTTATATATATTACCACAACTATAGATAGTATCTTTTTATCATTTTACATAATGTACAAATTTTTCCTTGAAAAGATATAATAATCTAACAAAAATCAAAATTCTACATTTGAAATTATAGATTTGTCTACTTTTACTCTATGTATTTTTTCCTCAAAATTTATACTCTAACCTTCTGAGTACAATAATCTACCTTTATACTCTAACCTTCTGAGTACAGTGATCTACCATTATACTCTAACCTCCTGAGTACAATAATCTACCTTAATACTCTAATCTTCTGAGTACAATAATCTACCTTTATACAAGTTGAGATAATAAATATAAATAGATGTACCATTTTAAAATGAAAACTCAAAATTAATTTTACCTTTGGTGTGTGAACTGTTAACCTAAGTGTTCTTGTTATGTAATCAAAAAGTTAATTTTTTTTTTTTTTCAAGTTGACCTAAAAAGCGCATTAAATAAAACAAAGTAAAAAAAGAAGCAAAATAAATAAAAAAAGAGAAAAACAACTTTTATTGATGTCTATACATCAATAAAAGTTGTTTTTCTCTTTTTGATTTGAACATTATTTACACTAGTTAAACATTTTAATAAATTTCACTTTACTTCACACATTTCATCTTCACTTTTATCTCTGACAAGTTATGACTTAAGCATTATTGGGTATCTCAAAATAGAAAATGTCTTTGAAAATCTGCTCCAAAATAATTGAGTGAACCATTGTTGACAAGTTATTGGCTAGTGGGATGTATTTTACTGCGACTGGGGCTGGTTCTAACACCAATTGACCGTTTTGTAAAATAATTATTATGAGTTTGAGTTGTCAAAATCACTATAATAAAAAAAGAATTTTATCAGATTAAAAAGTAAACAAATAGAAAAATCAATTAAGATGTGACAAATGAATGAGAATGAATGAAGGATTAGCTAAATTGCTGAAATCATGCAATTTTATAATAATATTTTTATGATAAATTATGTAATTAAGATGTGAAAAGTGAATATTAAGATTAGTTAAGTGATTAGTTTAATAATTGTTAGAAAATCTAAATAAAACAAAATTTTTATGAGTGCAGTGTGTTAAAAGAAGAAGATTTATGTAACTAATTTGAAGTGAGTAAGATTTATATAACCAATATATTTGTTATGAGGCGTATATATATATATATATATATATATATATATATATATATATATATATATATATATATATATATATATATATATATATATATATATATATATATATATATATTAAATATATATTAAATATATATACATTCGTTATAGGGTGAATATGTTACTTATGCAACTTCGCTTTAATATATTAATAAAAACTAAAAGATTTATTTACTTGGTTTTTTTGCAATTAATATTTGCAGAATATAATTTTTATATACTTTACTTTGATTATTCTCTAAATATTGCGAGTAAACATCGATAAATATTGCGAGTAAAATAATCCAATATACACAATGTTTTGACCACAGTATATTTTTTTGATTGACAATTTAAGTTATTATGTTTTTTCATTTGGAACTATCATGTAATGATTGTTAGCATATGCTCAAATGAGGGGCAACTTCGTTGTTAAAGAAAAGATTATACTGAAAATAAATTAGGTTCTTTGATCACCCAAATTTTTAAACTACCAAGTACCGTTTGAAAGAAAATCAAATTGTGTTTAAATTGCACTGCAAAGCTTCAGATTTTATCTATAAGAATTAAGTAGTGGATGAATGGTGATTCCTCTCCTCAGAAATGTATTGCAATCACCAATGGCGTTTTAGAGAGCCCGAGACCTGTACTAGGGTGTGTCAATTTTAGACTTTTTTTGAAAAAAAAGTTTAATAAAATTTGGGGTATAACTAAAAGTTGCGAAATTTTACGGAGAATCTAAATCTGTTAAAATTTTTTAAATCAGAAAAATATTTACTTAGGTGATTAGCCTTTTTATGAAAGTATTAACGGTTTTTATTTCCTTTTAAACGGAACAACGACGTTACCGGACAATACTGTACGTAAAAAAAAACAGACTTTTAAACAACAAAACAAATTTACATTAAGTTTATAAAAAAATCATTTAACTTAATATGTATAAAGTCTTTAAAAAATTTTTGTATTAAATGCGTAAAATAACTTTTTGTTAAAAAAAAAAATTTACTCAAACGTAATTTTTTAATCTTAATAATGGTCAGTAAATTAATTTTTCATTGCCGCATTTAGTAAACAACTGCGAACTGCATATTGTTAAATATAAATTTAAGAACTTTTGATCAATTGTTTTCATTCTTAAAATATTAAAATAAAAAAATTTTTTTCATTACTAAACAATAATAAATTCTCTTTAAAAGTTTTATAACTTGGAAGAATAATGGCACTCAAAACCAGAATAAGTACTTGTACGCAAATTAGTGTTGCATTTGGTACAGGAAAACAATTTCTAGTTTCAGAATTACCAACCAACAGAGATGTTATAAAATATGCAATTTTATTAAGAGAGGGCTGCGAAGACATAAAAAAAAGAAATTATCCTGTAAAAGAGATGGCCAAAGATATACTTCCAGCTTTATTACACCAGTGGTCGAGTGCAAATTTGGAATTTACATCGCCTAAATTAATTACTGATAAAACAATTTGTGATAAAATAGTGACTTTGTGGAACAACGCTTCAGCAATAGCTTGTCCAAGAAAAAAAGGAGCTAAACAAATAATAAAATTTAAAGAAAAACTTGATAAACTTTTTGATACACTACTATGCAAATGTCCAATTGTAAAATGTGATGATTTTATTTGTTCTGATGATTGTGATAATGAAGTTCATTTTAAATGCAAATGTATCAAAGAGTACAAAATACCATCTATTGACGTTAAGTTTATATATTTCAAAGAATTAAAACTGGAACTGTTAGCAAGTTTCAAATTGGTTTACCTGATAGAATTGAAACCAGGAAACAGTTCAAAAGATTACTTAAAAAAGATCGAGAAAAATATTTTGAGAATAAATACAGCAATGTTATTTTAACTAAAAAACAAAAAATTGAGTCAGATCAGATAAACTTTCAAAAAGAAAGTGATTTTAGTAATGAAATAGAATTAAATGATAACATTGATGATATTACTAATGTAGAATTACCTTTAGTACTAGAAAAATCATTAGGAAAAAAAAGATGTTACAATACCTTAGAAATTTCACACATAGCTATGAATAGGGTAAGGTATAGTTCTTTTTAAATAAATTTGTTTTTTAGTAATGTATTTATCCTTATAAAGGTATATATATATATATATATATATATATATATATATATATATATATATATATATATATATATATATATATATATATATATATATATATATATTTTAAAAGTAATTCTATTTCTGTGTAAATTTTGCTCACATAAATATGGTCTATCTGCGCGTGCTACAGCTGCAATTGCTACAGCAACACTAATTGATGCAGGATTAATAACATCTGATGATAAAAAGTTAATTATTGATCATAGTAAAGTTTCGAGAGCGCAAGAAAAAGTTATCTCTGATCTTAGTAAAGATTTTGACAAAATAGCAATAGTGGAGAAGTGAAATGCATATTTTTTGATGGGAGAATTGATCAAACCGAGCAAATGATTGAACTTGATGACTCAAATGCAAAATTTCCAGTAACAGTGAATTAAGAACATTACTCTGTTTGTATGGAACCTGGAGGAAAATATTTGTTTCACTTTACTCCTGAGAAAGCAACAAAAAGTGTTAAACATGCAGAGATTATAGCAAATAAAATTGTTGAATGGCTGACTGAGAGAGGTATTGACAAGTCTTTACTGGCTGTTGGTGGAGACTCTACAAATGTAAACACCGGTTGGGAGGGTGGAGTCATCAAACATATAGAAATAAAATTAGGAAAAAAACTTGTTTGGCTTATATGTCAACTCCATACAAATGAGTTACCACTGAGACATCTTATAACCAATTTAGATGGTCAAACGAAATCAAACAATAAATGGTCTGGTGTTATTGGTTCCATGCTTGATCATGCTACAGATCTAGATATAAATCCAGTATTTGAAACTATTAAAATTGGCAATCCACTTATTTCTCTCGATGATAAAATAATAAATGACCTGTCTGCAGATCAATTTTATGGTTATAAAGTTGTTTGTGCCATTAGAAGTGGTATTTTACCACCAAAATTTCATTTGGGCCTGTTTCACATTCAAGATGGTTAACTACTGCTAACAGAATATGTAGAATATGGATGTCTAAACATGGAATTCAAGGTAAAGATTTAGAAAATTTAAGATCTATCACCGAGTACATTGTAGGTGTTTATTTTCCTTGTTGGTTTAAGATTAAAGTTGAACATTCTTGGATTGAAGGTCCTAAACATGTGCTTTACCAACTGCAGCAACTTAAATTTCAAAAAGAAGATGTCATTAAAATAGTATCACCCTCTATTCAAAGATCAGCTTGGTTTTGTTTCAGTGAGTGTATACTACAAACATTGTTGTGTTCTAATACTGAAGAGGATAGAAGTGTAGCTATTAATAAGATAAAAGATATTAGAGGTACTGGAAATAAAGATCTACAAAAAGGTGATTCCTCTCCTAGACCAATGTACCAATGTACACTCATGAAAAGAGAGAAGGATTTGTCCGAACTCAATAGGCGAGTAGAAAGTTAATGCCTAAAAATAATAGTAAGCAAGACCTTGAAAGTTTGACACAAATGTTTTTGTATTAAATTTATAATATTTATTGAAATAATTCGGGTTTTTTTTTTTATTATATTGCTGTATTTCTAGCATCAATACCAATAAAGTTATTACGCGATGTTAAGGCAAACTGTATTTAAAAT